ACAAGGAACTCAAGAAGCTAGCCACCAAAACACCAAACAATGAAATTAAAAAGTGGGGTGCAGAACTAAACAGAATTTTCAACAGAGGAATCTGAAATGGCTGAAAGACACTTAAGAAACTGCTCAAAATCCTATTTAACAGAGAAATGCAAATCAAAACAACTCTGAGATACCACCTCACACCTGTCAGAATGGCTAAAATCAAAAATACTAATGACAACCTATGCTGGAGAGGATGTGGAGAAGAAGGAACACTCCTCCATTGCTGGCGGGAGTGTGAACTTGTAAGACCACTCTGGAAATCAGTATGGCGGTTGCTCAGAAAAATGGAAATCAGTCTACTGAAGATCCAGCCATTCCTCTCTTGGGTATATACCCAAATAGTGCATGTTCATACAACAAGGACATATGTTCAACCATGTTCATAGCAGCATTGTTTGTAATAGCCAGAACCTGGAAGCAACATAGATGACCCTCAGCTGAAGAATAGATAGAGAAAATGTGGTACATTTATACAATGGAGTACTACTCAGCAGAAAAAAGCAATGGAATCTTGAAATTTTCAGGCAAATGGATGGAACTAGAAGAAACCTTCCTGAGTGAGGTAACCCAGTCACAAAAAGACAAACATGGTATGTACTCACTCATATATGAATTTTAAACATAGAGCAAAGGATTACCAGCCTACAATCCTCTTCACCAAAGAAACTAGGAAACATGAAGGACTCTATGTGATAAATGGACCCCAGGAATGGGAAGTGAACTAGTTCAAGAACTCCTGAACTAATTGGGAGCATGAGGGCAGGGGAGAGGGTATTGCCACAATAAGAGCAGAAGAAGAGGAGTAGAAGATAGGAAATGGAGGAGCAGAGATATTGAGTAGGAGGAAGAATAGAGGAGAGAGAGCAGGATGAGAGATACCATATGAGAGGGAGCCACTATAGGTCCGAGAAGAGATCTGGATCTAGGGAGTTCTCCAGAGACCTACAAGGATGACACAATCTGACAATCCAGG